ATCTGAATTCTTTGCTAGTGTGGAGAATTAGTTGTTATTCCAGATAGTTAGGAAGCAGAGATGAAGGGCCATTACATTAGAGAAGCCCAGCCCTCTGGGAAGTTGGGCCATCTCGTCTCTCTCCTTATTTAAAAATAGATGAGTTCCCACTGTTTCCCAAGGCTTTGAAGGGTACACTTAGATATTGTAGGTTCCATCCTGACATCCTTTCCTCCCATTCACAATATACTTGCAGAACTAGAGAATGTGCCTTGTCTGGAAGGCTTAAAACAAATGCTTCAATTTTCCATTCTCCAAATGAAAATCAATGGCGGCAGAGAGGTAAAATCAATGTTCAGCAGTCTGTAGGGGTGCTCCCACCCCCATCCCAATCTGCCACCTACATAGAACAATAAAATCAGAACTAGCCATCCTGACTGGCAGAGAATCCCTGAGTGCAGAGCCCTCTACAAGTTTTAGGATTGTCTATTGCCCTGTACCCTAAGACGGTGGTGAACCTATGCCACACGAACAGCAGGGGGCTGTTATCATTGAAAGCTCTAAAAGGTTTGCCATCACTGTTCACCTAACAGAATGTTTTTCTTAAGCAGGTCTCAGAAAATATTTGAAACTTAAGTGTTATGGATTAGAACTATAATGTCCCCTAAAAGTCTCATGTATTTGGAAGGTGATTGTATCATGGGGGTGCTGTACTCATTAAGGAACAATGAAGAGTTTGTAGCTGACTTGCTGTCAGGAGATGGGAGCATTGGGTTATGACCCAGAAGGGAGTATGCTAGTCCCCAGCTCCTTCCTCCTCTCTCCACTTCCTTGCAGCCATAGGGTGGTAAGTTTTCCTCTGCCATTCCCTTCTACCATGCCATTCTGCCTTGGAGCTAATTAACCATCCTCTGAAAACCATAAGCCAAAATAAAGCTCACCTCCATTAATTTGTGGGTGTTAGGTATCTTATCCAGCAATGGGAAAAAGCTAACTTACACACTAAGTCAGGAAGAATCATACAGTGCTATAACAAGAATTCTTCTTTTGCGAACAGACCCATTTACCAGTGGGATCTCTGGTGTGTAACACCAGAGCTTGACTTCACTGTTTCCCAAAGGATCCTCTTTATTATCCAGACCAACGACCACTGTCATCTTCTTCTTCCCAGGAAACTAGTGATCTGCCTTCTGTCACCACAGATGAGTGTTCTCTAAAATCTTGTGTTCTCTAAAATTTCATGTCAGTGGTAATCATGCAGTATATACTTTTTCGGGGGTATAGGAGGTTTTTTTTTCACTCAAAATAAATATTAGATCCATCCGTGTTGTTAGATGTATCAAAAGCCTATTTCTTAATGTTCAATAGTAATCCATTGTAATGGATACACTATAATCTGTTTATCCATTCATCTGCTGATGCATATTTGGATTATAGCCTACATTTTTGCTATTATAAATAAAGCTGATATGAATATTCACCAGTCCATCTTTATGTGTACACATGCTTTCATTGTATATTTTAGAATCAAGTCTTCTTTGAATATGTTTTACAAATATTTTTCCCACTGTGACTTCCCTTTTTATTTTTTTTTATTATTATTTGTTTGTCTGTTTCGAGATAGGGTCTCATTTGTGTTTCAGGCTGGCTTTAATTCGATATGTAGCCCAGACTGGTGTCAAAATCATAGTGATGCTCCTGCTTCAGCCCCCTGGTGTTGGGATTACAGGCATGTGCCACCCCACCTGGCATTCTTTTCATTTTTATAAAAGTATCTTTTTAAAGTTTAACAGAACCAAATTTGTTGATTCTTTTTTCTTCTGCATCAACTATTCATGATTTTTGTGTTCTACTTAAGAAATCTTTCTCAACCTCATTTTTCTCAACCTCATTCACCATTTTGTTTTCTTCTAAAAGTTTTATAGTTTTTCCTCTTATATTTAGGTTTGTATAATTTTAATTTTTATAATATGTTAAATAATCAACATTTACATATATGTAAATGTATGGGATCATAAAATACTCATTAGAACAAATATTAATTGAAAAGCACCCAATATAAATTTTTTATACAGTATAGTAATTGCTTGTTAACCAAATAATCAAAAAAACCTATGACCAAAAGAATAGACAGAAATATATAACAATATTTTAATTACTGTTTTTAGATAATGTTACCATTACCTATTTCCTCTTTCTTTTGGCTTTTCTGACTTAATGTTTTATAATAAGCATCAACTATCATTATATAAAAATAGACTGGTACCAGATATGGTGGTACAAGCCTGTAATCCTAGCTGCTCAGGCGGCTGAGGCAGGAGGATCAGAAGTTCAAACCCAGCTCGAGCAACTTAACAAGACCTTATCTCAAAATAGTAAACTAAAAAGGGCTGGGGACATGGCTTAGTAGTAGAGTTCAATTCACAGTACTGCCTAAAAGGGGTGGGGTGGGGTGGAACATTTTTTAAAAGTCACTCAAGAAGTGCCTTCTTGATTCCAGGCTGCCTTCACACTGCTCTCTCTTGCACAAATGACCCCTTTGGAGAACAGGAAGGATGAACATACTAACACACGCCCACCTCCTCCCAACTCCACTCAGTACTGCTTAACAGCAGAAAGAAGTAAAACAAAAAATTTCCAGAAAACTTCTCCAAAAAGAATATGAGTTCAGCTGAAGCCTCTGATGAAAAATACAAATACCACCCCATGAAGGAGAATTCCAGCAGAGAAGCCTGGATGCTCTGCTGTCATTCTTTCTTCCCTTTTCAAAATTCCTTTGTCAGCTCCAAAATGCTGCAGTCACAGCTGTGTGCACCCAGCAGCTTCTCCGCTCACTCAGTCCCTGAGGCAGGAAAAAGCTAGTACAGTTCTCTCTCGGATGCACCTGCTGTCCTGCCTGGATCCACTTGCTAAGACAGCCTAAGTCTGGAGCCTTGCACTTAGAGAAGGTGCGGCATCTCTCCATGGGTGTGCACTCCTCATTGCCTGAAGGGCAGAATTCGCCCCCTGAGCCACTCAGGGGCCAGCTTGGCTAGGAGGGTTACATACAGATGTTTCGCAGAAAGATTAGTTCCCTGATTGATGCGTAAATCAACTTGCCAACATGGTCTCCCTGATCACAGGGGACCCCCGAAGTATAACACAGAGGGACAGATGTTTCATCTGGGAAAGTGTCCAAGACCCTTAGAAGAGATATGCAGTTGCCTGATAATGTGGGCTGAGTGATTCAGCCTTGAGAGGGAAAGGAGAACCCTTGGGCCCACAGCCACAGCAAATACTACAGCACGGCTTCCCTGGGCCATCACCTCCCAAACCCTGGGAAGCCACCTCAGCTAAAGCTGCCTCTTTGGGTTGTTTTTCCAAACAATGAAAAGGCCCCATTGTCAGAAATGCAGCTATCTTCTTAGTCCTTTCCTGCTGTGCACCACAGAAAAGGCGGCAGAAATGAAGCTGTAATCTCCACACTAAACCTCAAAGACTTATTCTCACAAGAACCACAAAGGCTGCACAGTCAGACTAGCAAAAGGACACAGAATCTGTAGAGCATTAACTTTTTTTGTGAGGAACACACAACTTTGTGGACTTCTGGCTGAACTCCGCCAAATGAATCCAATGATAATTATTATTATCATAATTGTTTAGTAACTGTAATGTAGACACAGCTGTCATTTGACACAACACTTGTGTACATTACACACCATTACCTATTGAACTTTCACACAACCACACATATAAAACACCCTCAGAAGGGCCGGAGATTTAGCTTAGTGGTTTCGCCGCCTGCTGCACAAGCGCAAGGACCGGAGTTTGATCCCTGGTACCCCCCCCTGCAAAAAATACCTGTAGAAGTGCTGTAATTAAACCCACTTAACAGATGATGAAGCACAAATTCACAATCAAAGCGACTTGCCACAGCCACATACCCAGGAAGGGGCCAAGCATGGGCGTTGAGCCTAGATGGCTCTCACTACCAAATCTGCACTCTGAGCCACTCTAAATTTTATGCTCACCAGGAGACACAGGAGACGAGGATCTCATTTTCTGTGTAAGCAAAAAAAGTGATGTCAGAAACATAATGTTCCAAGGAAGACACCATTTACATCTGGATGTGTCTAAATACCAATGAAGTCCTTGCCTCACAAAGACATTTGAATTTAAAACTAAAAATCCCTTGTCTGACATTTCTAGGAAGGCCTGTATTCTGATTTCTAGGAGGACACATGCAATGGACTCTCTATGGTCTACACACACACACATACACACACACACCACACGCGCATGCACTAGACCAGATCGCTAAATAACCTAGAGTACTATTCCCAAGTGTGTTGGGTATTTGCAACAAAAGAGGCCACATTTCCCTCCATCAGAAAAGGCAGAAATCACAGGTGGCAGGAAGAATGAGTGAGGATATCAGATGTTGCACCTGAGAAAGTAGCAATATATGCTCCTAAAAGGCACAGTAATGTGGATCCTGAGACATTAAAGGGACAGGAGCAGAGAGCTTTTGGGCCTCACAGCCTTGAAAGATTATCACAGTCAGGCAATCAGATACAACCAGAAGCTAAGTGTCCAGGCCCTGCTTTCTTAGCTATAAGTTTCCTGGATCCTGGAATCACTCAGGAAAGAGGAAGGGCCCCAGTAATGACCACAAAGGGATTTTCTGATCTTCTGCTCAGATGAGGGCTTAGAGTCAAGATGTAGGAGATTTAAAGGTAATTAAAAATGACAATCTAGGGCCAGGATTTAGCTCAGTGGTTTTGCCGCTTGCTGCAAAAGTGCAAGGTTCTGAGTTCGATCCCTGGTACCAAAAAATTAAATAAATAAAAATGACAATATATTTTCAAGTCAGTGTTTGAAAAGTGAGATTCATGCCATAGCAAGAATACAGGCACAAAACACTATACAAAATAGTATCATAAGCCTTACACTCTCCCATTCCCAGCATCACCCAGTCAGAGACCGGGTACCCTCAGATCAGCCAGCCTCCCAGGTTCCAGCTATCGCGCTTCTTGCCTTACCTGGGCAGCAGGTGCTTGCGGCTGACACAGAGGGCTGTCTGGTAGTCTTGGGTCACACACACTTTGTGAGGGCTGCACTTCACCTTCAGGCAGGGGTCTTTGGATGGGTCCAGGGCTGAGGCAAAAGGAAAGAGAAGAAAGGAGTTAGGACCTCCAGGAAAATTTAATTTCTATTGCTAGTCAAATAAATGAGAAACAAACAATCCGTGTGTTTGCATTTTGTGCTGTTTCCTGAGGATGGTGGTGACTGGAATGAAAATCCAACCCAGGGGACTTCTGTGTCTGTCACACAGTCTTCTTCAGCATCAGGACAGTGATTCTCTTGTGCTTTGAGAGCTTCAGCATTTTCATTTCAAGGAGAAACTGCTTTAAAAAACTCTTTAGACTTACAGGATCCAAATAACCTCTTAGTCATTTACCTGGTGTTGCTTTTTATTATTTCATCCATGTTTAATTTTACTTATTTCTACCACATAAAAGTCCTTAAGGACAGTAGTTTTTGCTTCAGTTCAAAAACTACCGTCTATATGCATAAATAACCTACTTAAGTTTTTAGAGAACTTCAGGATGTGCAAGACAGTTTTGTGCCACACAAAGTTACAATGTAATAGGGAGAAGAAAAAAGCTTACACATAAATATTTATTGTGTAAGGCAGAATTAGATAAGGGCCATGATGGGCATATAAAATGATAACAGCTTGAAAGAAAAATAGAGATCAATTTCTAGGGCAAGGATTAGTGAAGCATTAATATGTGAATTGGATCACTAGGGATGAGTAAGATTTTGAAAAAGCAAAGACAGAAAAGGCAAGCCAGGCAAGAAGACCAGCACAAGCCAAGGCAGGGAGGCATGTTTGGGCGATCATGAGAAATTCAATCAATTAAGTGTGGCTTGTGGGTGGGAATAATGAAAGGAGGGGAGTTGACTCAAACAGGTAACTCCAGAAAAGGTCTCCAAAGACAGAAGTTCATACACTGTGGTGTTTTCTAGAGTAATCTGAGTATCCGGCCCCTGGCTAATCAGCACTCCACATGCTGAGGTGCACATGTGCATCACTGGCACAGAAGAGGCCCCAGAGAATTCTCTGCAGAACAAAAGCAATTGTTCCATCTCCCAGCTCCTATGCCTAAACCCTATCTGGTGGTAAATCATTCATAACTGCTATCCATAGCCAGGGGAGATGAGGTTCCCCCATATCATTCCCCTACAAACATTTGGTTTAAGAAATTGACATTCCAAGCAGGGCCAGCAAAACTGCTATAAGAAATACCATCGTCTACTTTACCACTGGGCTTTTAGCTGTCACACAGCATAAATCACAATTCTTCACTTCCCACCTAGGCCCCAAATCTGAACACCATTTTCTCCACATGGCTGCTGAGGATATCTCAAAGGTCCTGTACACAACATTCAAAGGTGTTTCTGCGGCCTGAACCACTCAGGGTGGCTTCTTCTCTGTGGGAACTGTGGCAGCTGTAAACAGGACCCAGGGAACATTCTTAGGTCAGTCAGGACAAGGACAACACCATGGTCCTAGTCCCAAGGTGGTAACCTGGCAGAGCCAGTTCCCCAAGTGATATGCCCTGATGCCTGAAGCTTAGCAGAGAGAAAGAGGCTCTGATAAGCGAGAGGCTGCTTTGAGCCCCAGGGCAGGATGCTCACTCCCAGCTCTTAAGCTGAGATCATCCTCTGAAATGCAGTGGCCTAGAAGCCTGTGTCTGTCCTCCAGTCCTCCGAGGCTGGGGCTCCCAGAAACATGTGGCAAGAGCTAGCTGGTCCCATGTGGAACTCTTAATCCCTGGGGGTGTCAAGCCAGGCATGAGAGGCCATGAGGCTGGCGCAGTCTCTACCAGCTCCCTTCTCCTTTGGCACCACCACCACTCCTAACCCCTCCCTGGGGCTATGGCTCAGCCAGCTCTGACTTACCTTCCAAGACTCCTCCAAAACTGAATCAATGATTAAGAAGGATTACCAGATGACCACTAAGGACAACTATGGCTGATCTTTGTACCCTTCTCAAACTTCCACCCACCACTTATGGATTTCAGGAAATCTGTGACCAGACATCCTTGCTAAAGTTACCAATGAGGCATTTTCCCCAACAGGAGCCATGTGCCCCAAAGACTTTGAGATTTCTATTTGAGTGGGTCTAAGAGATGGAAAACAGTAGGGTGGCTTAGCATGATGGGTGCTAAAATCTGCAGCATTACACGATAAGTTTTAGGGCAGAGTTTGAACTCCTTTTGCTTCTGCAGGCAACTTCACAAATGTGCAGTGTTCACAGTGCCAGGGAGTTGACCTGAATGAAAAGAGCAATCTCAAGGGAAGTAACTAGCCAGGCACATACAGTAGGAAAGAACACAGACTCCAAGCCCAGGGACTCCTAGGACTGATTCTTCTGCCTTAGTTCCTTCTTCTATAAAATAGGGATGATAACAATGCCTACTATTGCTAGTTGGTTGTCAGTAGCATTACATTAATTAATACCTTAAAGTGCTTACAACAGACCTGGTACATGTTAAGCACCTTGGATGTATTTGTTAGGTTTTTCAGGTTTGTATTTTGTTCCCAGAATGAATAATAAGCCATCATAATCACAAGAACAATAGTTCGCACTGAGTACCTCTGACATGAAGGCAGTGAACTAAGCCCTCTAATTGGATTACCACACTTAATCCTCAATAGGCCCAAGAAGGCTGCTGCCAAAGTGTCCATTTTGCAAACACGTCTTAAAGAGAAGTTGATGACAGGTGTAGAGGGTGCTGGAAAGTCTGCTTTGTGAACACAAATTCCTCACTATATGCCACCAGCACTGGGATCACCTTGAATCTCTGCTGATCTTGAAAGTGGACTGTGGAGTATCACTTCATTCCAAGTATAGAGCCTGGATGTCACCATGTTCTCAAAATGCCCTCAGAGCAAAATGAAATGTCATGGGGAAAACTAAGGGAGAGCTTCCAGGGGTCTGGGGGCGGGCACTGCTGCTGAGGCTGTGACAGCATGCTCTGCCAGTATACCCCAGGACTGCGTCTCCAGCACCAGCCCTGCCCCCAGAGGGTGGAGAGCCCAGCCCTGGACAACTGCACCCCCTGTGCACTCCTTCTGGATCCAGCAAGCCCCCACTGTGTCAATCAACCCATAATTTGGTCAATTCTGTTTCTGCAGTCTTACTATCTGTCATCCTGGCAGTGGGCAAACTTCTAAAGATAACCCTTCTGAGTGCTAGGATTACAGGTTTGTACCACTACATTCGGCTCCTTGGAGGGTAATACTTTTTACAGCACTGAGGATTAAACCAAAGCTTTAGCACTGAGCTACATTCTCAGCTTTCTTTTATTTATTTTTTATTTTTTTTATTTTGAAACAGCATCTTGCTAAGTTGTCCAGGCTGCCCTTGAACTTATGATCCTCCTGCCTCAGCCTCCCAGAGTGCAGGCATTACAGGCATGTGCTATCACACTGTCTACATTAACATTTCTAAACACAAAATGTACAACCAAAAATACTAATAGGAATTGTCAGTTATTTAACGATGTATACATACTTAACAATTTCCAGACAGAAATCAAGTCTGCTAAAATTAATTACTATGTGAATTATTTAGAATAAATGAATGTCACAGAAAAAAATGTAACAAATCAAGCTGTCAGGGTTTGTTTAATTACCAGGATGCATTTTATTTTTGCAAAACAGCGATACTGGGATTGAGGAGTATTTCATTTCCATTTAAATGCAGGCCTCTCATACATGCTTTTCCTAGCAGCCACTGGGCTCACATGAAAGGTTCTCAGTACCAGTACTGGACAGGGATGTGTGGCTCCACTTTCTACAGAAAATGATAAGAGATCCCAATGAATAATAAGTGGCATTTGAGAAACCTTTTAATAAGGTAGGGGAAACTGCTCAGGTGAGAAGATAGGAGCAAGTGATGAGTGTCAGTGGCAGCCCTGAGCTGCAGCCTCCCTGTCATGGTGCCAGGCTGTGCTCCAAGTTTTAATCTCCCTCTATACACCCTTGGAAACAGGATGAAGCAATCTCCAGAAGATGGGAAAGCTCTCCGTCCCCCTTTATGTCTTGTATCATCATACCCGCAGGACTCATGTGGACTTAAGGAGGACCGCGTGCCTAATACAAAGTAGGAACCCCAAGGTTAATTTCATCTTTCCTGCCCATCTTCCCACAAAAACCAGCAGGTGTCAACTGGCACAGGGCACGTGTCCCACATATTTTTCTCAAAATAATTTTTACCAAAACTTTTCTCAAAGAAAAAAAAGGCCCAAAATGAATTAATTTAAGGAACTGCAAAACATCGAATTCAAAACCCAGTTAATTACCAGCTCCATCTAAGTGTTTTTTAATTAATTTTATTTTTTAAGCTCATTGCTTGGTCTCAATTAAGGTGCTGATATTTTAATTATCTTAATTCTTTCTAAACTTGTTTTACAGTTCAATGAGTTATTTTTAATTAGCTACAATTGATCTTAAAATCCAGAACCAAGCCCTTTCATTGTCCTTGGGCAAATCCCATGGTCTAATTGGCAAAGGGTCCAACATCTGGGCCAGCACAGCTTGATGCTACTGGAGAGATGCTATGGTGAGAGGAAGATTCCATTTGGTGGGTTGGTCAGAAAGGCCTTAGTCTTTGCAGACATCACACACACACGCACGCACACACACACACACACACACACACACACACATGCATATTTGTTCAGTGAACATGTGCAGAGCATCATTCTGGGTGAGACACTCCTTTGCAGGCTGGAGGCCAGCAGCTCTGTGGGGACCATGACAGCCCTCCTGTTCTCCGGGGGCTCACACAAAGATGGGACTCAGGGGATGCACCTAACTCAGACTTCTAGAGGGTCAAGTGAGATTTTCTGGAGGAAATGATGTCTTTGGAAATGCAGATTTAAACCAGGCAATAGTAGGAGGAAGATCAGAACATTCCATGTAAAAGGAATCTCTTTCTGGGGTCTGAGAGATCTTGTCAGGTTTGGAGAATGGAAGTGTTTCATCTGGCTGGCAGCTGGTTAGAGTGGGGTGGGATAAGGTTGGAGAAGGTGACCAGGCATGTCATGGAGGGCCTGGACACCCCCCTGAGGACTCTGGGG